TAAAATTTTATTAAAAAAATTTATATTTTAAAAAATTTTGCAGGCAAATTTGGCTGCAAAACAATTTAAGGGATAGATATTTTTCCTTAACTTTTGCTGCCCGATGATATAGAATACCATTACATATAACAACTACCCATTTGTGTATTCCATCTTCAATTCCAGAAATTTTTTTAATATTAAGAAAAACTTTTTCAATATTTGTAGTTATATTAGGATTAACATCAAGTTGGTCAGGTATAAAAATTTCTGAAACATTAACTTCTTCATTGGCACGCATTTTTTGGGTAATACTAATTCTTGGTATATTAGATGGTCGAGTTTCTTTTTGGATATTATATAGTTTAGAGGTTGTAGACTATTCAGCTATATCCTCTTTTACTTCAACACGTTGCTTCGACATTTCAGACATTTCTGATAGTGTAGATAAACAAAATTTACAATCTGGGCAAACTTGCTTTCTATTGTCAATATCTTGCTTTTTATAATTAGGGCATTGTTTACTGCAACAAATATTCAAGCCTAAATTAGATGCAAGAGAATCAATTTTATTAGTTGCAGTTAATTTTTCTTCGCACAATAAATCAAGAATTTCAAAAAAATAAAGATTTAATTCTTTATTTATAACATCTTGCATTTTAGGCGTAGAATCGAAAAGACTTTCGTATTGCAACCTATTAAGAGAATCGAATGCCCAAGGTCTATTATTAGTATGTTGAATATAATTATGCAGATCCATATTAAAGGTAACAAAACTAGTAACAGTGTGAAATATCACTGTATTGTGTCCATGATCAAGATAATTCTTTTGCCCCTGTTGCTCATTGTCAAATGCTAAAAATAAGAGGCCTTCTGGTAGAGTTTTTTCTTTATCTGATAATTTTTCTAACCAGTTTTGAAAATGGATATAACTTTCTGAACTGGTGATGTAATTATCGATATTGATAATAGTTTTTGACCTTGCAATAGAATATTTAATAGCTGATGCTACAAGGTTTATTTCCGATACATATTTCCCATGTCTAAACCCATACACCAAATCGACTGCTATGGCCTTTTTAAAAATTTTTTCAGCATTTTCAAGACCTGTATTATGGTTATTGTATGTTAGTGTTTCAATAAATTTTACAAGAATTTGATTATATTTACTTAGCCATAGATGAGGGGTATAATTTAATAGATTTTCTAAAGAAAATCTATTGTTCTCTCTAATCAAAGCTTTGACATCCTTATATAAAAAATTTCATTCAATTAGCATAATATCAGTGACTACTTGTATGCGCTTATCTTGATTAGAGTACCAAGAATCCCAATGCTTGACCAGTTCTTCATTTCTATCAACTTCATCACTTAACAAACCTTTCAAATTAACTATAACTTCTTGGCGCTCTTCTAACTGTCTCCTCAATTCTAAAATTACTTGCTCTTGGTTTTTAAAGTTTTTTTGAAATTGCATGATCATAGTAAGCTCCCTATTTTCTTGTTCTTGCAACTGTTGCTGCAATATTGTAATCGTATGCTTATAGTTTCTTATTTGACTAGTTTCTAGATACAATTCATCAATTTCTTCATGAGTATTAGAATCATAAGTAGGAGTAGGACTGTCAGAGCTAGCATCGGATCGAAGTCTCTTATTTTTAAAAGCAGGATTATCTAAAAGGTGGCGATGAAAATGATTAGTAGAAATTACTTGATTATAATGTTTTTCACAAATTGAATGTGGATACAAATTTTGTTTTTTTTTTTTTTACGCATGGTATTTCTTTAACCTGTTTTCGTGTACAGATTTCTTATAGACTTTTCCTTTCCTAGTTCTTAATTTGTAGGCACCGTTTCCAAACATTTCATGGATATAGTAAGGTCCCGTCCACTTTTCCTCTAATTTAAAGCTATGTGAAGTTGCTAGAGATGATTTAAACAAGAGCACTAAATCGCCTATTTCGTATGACTCTATTTGGTACTTAGAGTCATGATAGTCACGTTGTTTCTGCTGTGTCTTATTGGTCCTAGCGCTAGCTTGGTGGCGGGCTTCTACCAAGTTTCCCAGTAAGGTTTCTATTCGTCTTAAGAGGTTTTCTTGTACTTTATTTTCGGTTGTTGGTTCAGTGGTAAAAGTAAGTAGATTAGTTTCTATAGGGTGTATAGCATCACGACCATAAACTAAATAAAAGGGCTCATGTCGGGTAGTACTATGTTGGGTCATTTGATATGCAAATAGGGCAGGGGATATGTAATCATCCCACTTATTTCCAAACTGGCTGAGATACTTAGCGAGTACCTCACAGAGGGTACGATTAAACCTTTCTACCAACCCATTAGTTTGCGGGTGGTAGGTAGTGGATAGCCGATGCTTAATGTCCATCTGGCTACAAAGAGCATCCACTACTTTGTTACAAAAGTGGGAGCCTTGGTCAGAAAGTAATACCTTCGGACTCCTGTACTGGCATATTATGTCGTCGAATAGAAAGTCTGCTATGGAGATAGCATCAGCCTTTTTAAGGGCTCGAGCCTCGGGCCACCGGGTTAAATATTCCGTGGCCACTACAATATAACGACTTCCTTTTGTAGTCATAGGTAGTGGCCCTACAATATCGATACCGACTCGGTCAAAAGATCATCCAACTTGAATTGGGTGAAGAGGCTCTTTACTCCTAGGTCATCCTCGTCATTGGCAGGAGGCACAAAATTTCACATAGGCCTTAATACTTTCTCCCATTTGAGGCCAAAAGTAACGGATCGAAATTCGTTAGAAGGTTGCCGTAACATTGAGGTGGCCAGCTAGGGGATCCGAATGCATACTGAATAGGACTGACTCTATTTCGTGGGGCTTGAGAACTCGTTGGGGTCTTAAAGGGTTTCTAGAGTTCTTTTTATATAGTAACCCTTCCTGAACTATATAATTCCGGGTTCTATATTTTAATTGTTTTTCGGTATAGTCTAATAGTATCATAGTATTGCTAAGATACCTTAGAAATAAGTAATATGTATTTATATCCATAAAGGTATTTCCGTTAGATGTGTTCGTGTTTTTAATAAGAGGAGGGTTTTTTTTTTTTTTAGAACTCTATACAGGATAGACTATCTGCGTTTAAATGTTATTTTCTGGGTTTATGTATTGTCTTGAAGGAATATTCTTGCAACATTAGAATCCAACGAGCAAGCCGATTTTGAGGTGTTTATGAGAGAATAAAAACTTTAGGGCAGAATGATCTGTGTATAAAATGAAGAGAGCACTATGTAAATATTGCTGGAAATATGAAGTAGTCCAGATGACCGCTAGACACTCTTTCTCCGTAGTGGGGTAATTTCTTTCTGCTAAAGATAAACTACGACTGGCATAAGAGATAACCCTCTCTTTATCTTCAGAATCAAGCTGGGAGAGAACTGCACCCAAAGCTTGATAAGATGCGTTGGTGAATAATAGGAATGGTTCATTTTCGTCAGGGTAGGCTAGTACGGGAGCAGTAATAATTTTTATCTTTAGCTTTTCAAAAGCCTTTTCTTGTTCGGGCCCCCACTTATAATACTTATATTTTTTCAATAATAAGTTTAGGGGTGCTGTGATATCGGTGAATCCTTGGACGAATTTCCAATAATATGAGGTGAGTCCCAGGAATCCTCATAGTTGTCTTACGTTACGGGGCATCAGAAAATCTTGCACGGCTTTTATCTTCTGAGGATCAGTTGAAATTCCTCCTGCGTTTATTATATACCCCAAGAATTTCAACTGGCGCTTCCTGAAGAAGCATTTCTGAGGTTTCAGTTTAAGACCGGCTTTCCATAACCATCTGAAGACTTCCTGGAGGTGGAGAAGATGTTCATCGAAGGTCTTGGAGAAGACGTTTATATCGTCGAGATATATGACGATGAATTTTTCTATAATATCTCAGAAAATTTTGTTTATTAATCGTTGGAAGGTGTCGGGAGCGTTGGCTAATCCGAAGAGCATCATGTTGAACTCATAGATCCCTTCAGGCGTTACAAAAGCCATCTTCTCTTTATCCTCTTCCACCATCTCTACCTGCCAGTACCCACTAGCGAGGTCTAGAGAAGCATACCAAGAGAAACCCTTCAAGGTATCTAGGAGATCATTGATCCTAGGAAGCAGATAATTGTCTTTCTTCGTGACGGCATTAAGCTTCCGGTAGTCTATACAAATGCACGTTTTCTTTTCTCACTGTTTTACTAAAACTACCGGAGAGGATCAAGAGCTATAGGAACCGCAGATTATTCTTTCCTCTCTCATCATCTTTAACTTGTTTCAAAGAAACTTCTTCTCTTTTACTGCGTGTTGGTAGGGTCTTTGTTTAATTGGTAGGGTGTCCTCGGTGATTATTCGGTGGTGACACCTATTAGTTCGGCCAAGCTCAAAGATACTCTTAGGAAGAGATCTGGATTTTTATCCAAGATCACTTCTATTTTCTCTTCTTGCTCTTTAGGAAGAGTCTCGACATTATACATCGCGACCGGATTCTCTTCTTTGTCAAAATAAAAGTCAAAGAGATCAGCAATTTCTTCGTATTCCTTTATGGCCAGATCTGGCAGAGTTACTTCTGGGGATTCATCGGCACGCGATTCTTCATTCCATTCATTATTTAACGATTCTGCTTCATAATGGTACTCTTCTTCTTGATTCCAATCATGATCATTCTCCAGTAAATAATCGTTGTCGCTATTCAAATTCCACCAGGCTTCTCCTTCTCCTAGATTATTCAGATTGAGGTTTTCGTACCCTTTATCCTCATCATCTTCTTCAGAACTTTCATTTTGTTCTTCTACCTCCAAAAATCTATAAATCCAATCTTCTAACTCTTTCTCTTCAAATTCATCATCGTCTTCCTCTTCCTCTTCTGTTTCTTCTTCTTCTTCACTAACTTCATTTTCTTTCTGATTTATCTTTGTAGGTCTTTCGACTTCAAGCGGTTTCGGGGTGACCTTCCTGAATTCTACGGGCGCTATAACTTCCTTCTCATCCTATGTAAGCATTATTTCAGAAAGATTCCAGTCAATTAATGCGTTTACTTTTGATAACTAGTTATTACCTACTAGAGCGTTATAAGAACTGGCATCGGTGATGATGATGTCTATTGGAATCTTTAATCCTCCTACAACAAAGGAGAAGTTAGCTATTTCATCTATAGCTCTTTTACTTTCACCGTGGACGTTAATCATATTAATGGTGGATGGATGGTCGATTTTAATTCCTAAGTCTTTTAGGAGGTAAGATGACACAACACTCCCTGAAGATCCACTGTCAACGATCAGGGGAATTACTTTATCTTGTACCTTTGCGTCGCAGTGTAGGGCAGTCGACTTCTGGGTATTTTGTAGATTTACATTAATCTTTAATTTTCTTCTTATAATCTTCTTCTTTTGTAGGAATCGGATTAAATTGGTCCTCATGGAAGGGGTGGCTTTGAACAACTGTCCAAAAGTAATATTGGCCGGTTTATTTCAGATTTTGGTGACTATTGAATATGAGGCGACTAGGGACAATATTTGTGGAGTATCGTCCTCTAGTTTCTTCTTTCTAATTGGGGTAAGTCTCTTCTTCTTTTCTTCTAGCAGATTACACCTAACTAAGGTGGGTTGCGGTTCTTTGCTTTCATGGTTTTCTATTATTTCTTCTACTAATACTGCTTTCTCTTCTTCTACCTTCTGTTTCTTAGTACGGGTTTCTATTGGATTGTTCTTTCTGATTTTCACTTCTGCTGGGCGAAAATAGAAGTATCTTTGGCGGTAAATCCTAAATATGCTAGATGTTCTTCAGGGACTTCGGGTTGGGTTGTTTGCTGGAGTAAGTTCATTAATGCCAATAATGCTTCTTGTGGATTAGCGTCGTTCGGGGAATGTACAGGCGAATTAGCAGCAATCGGGTTTGGCGAGGTGTTGTACAATTTTGGCTTATATGTCCTGGGCGCCCACAGTTATAACAAACTATGGGATTCGGGTTTGGACTTCTCGGGTTGGGTTGATAACTTCTAAAAGGCTGTCGCTGATCCTGAATTTGGATCATCATTTTATTAACGGCTTCGGTAAGTCTATTAATCACGGTTTTGGTTCCATTCTGAAGGGAGGTGGGAACTTGAATCAGATTATGCTGGTATTAGGCTACTTGGAACGGGTAACCCACAGTTTGACCTAGGAACGCGGCATATATAGGATTTTGTTTATAAGCATTTTCAAATGCTTTAGCTCTATCGTATATGGCTTGTAACGTATTTGGGGTGAACAGAGAAACGGCCATATATAACTCGGACCTTAGCCCATTTATAACATTTGGGCTTTAGCCGAATCAGAATACTGGTGACCTCCAGCCTCTACTTTCCTAATCATCTTCTTTATAGCTACGTGATAGGAATCGAGGGTTTCTCCGGTGAGTTGTTTCTGTTGGGTAAGCTGAGCAAACCACTTGCCTTCTAATTCAGGGTTCAGAATTTAGTAGTGAAGTTAGCTTTAAAACTTTGAGCCGCATTTGTATTATCGCTCCATTGGTCGATTATCAGGACTTGGGCTTTGATAGTTTCCCACCAAGTAGATACTGATCCTCTCAATTTAGAAATGATTACCAGTATTTTCCTAGCATCGTTAATTCGATTGGCTTCGAAAGCTTTTTCTACGTCCTCTAACCAAGAAATCGGATCTTGGTCTCCTTCCAAGAATTCAGAATAGGGAACTAAATTTAATTCCCTATGGACGGCTGGGAGGTTTATTTGTGGTGGTTGTGCAACTTGCATTTGTTGAACCAATTGAGTGATTTGATTCACCAGATTTTGCATAGAGTTGAGGTTTTGCGGGTTTTGATGGGGTGGAATGTTTTGTGGTAGAGGTTGTTGGGCCATTTTTATACTTCTTCTCTGCTTTTTAACGTTTTTCTAATTTAAAAATTCTACTTCAATGGGGAATAGTTCAGTTATTCCACACAACTGGCACCAAATGTTTCTATTGTAAATAGGGAGAGCAAATAAGATTGCACAGTTTAGCTCCAATAGTTAACGTGATACTGGGTTTAAGAATATAATTACTATAAGATAAGAATTATTAGTATGAGTCTATATGCGAATTATAATCAGTTTAAGGGTAATTGATCAAAATGGATGCTATTTAAGAGTAATAAGGAA